ATTGCACCAAGGTATGCTTCTTTCCCTTCTCGATTGTTCGACTGGTGCTAATCCTTTGTCTTAGATTGTCAGCTGCGGAGAAGACGCCGTGAGTGTTCCTGCATTTAGACCCTATTTTCTTTCACCAAAAAAAAACACTCATTGCGCGGATAAACGTCATGTAGCGGATATGTATCTGGGACTTCTCGTTCGGTTTAGATACGGCCTTTGTGAAATTATAGGGAGAAGGCCAAGGGTCCTATGGCATGCAATCTATGCGGCGATGGAATCTAATATTCACAGTATTAGCTCTTGCAAATAACAGGGGTAATTATAATTTAAGCGCCCATGCGCCCATGAAACATATTACATCCGCCCTGTGCTCGCGGTTGACCGCGATCGTGGGAAACACGTGTCTCGCAGCCCTGGTTGGAGGGGTCCTCCACCGATACCGAAGGGCCTATCCGCCGAGAAAAAGATTTGTCAGTGATAAGATGAGCGCGGAAGTAAAATACCGAAAACTGAAAATGCTAATTGCAAGTCGGTATGGTCGAAAATCTATATCTTGATATGGATATATACTGTATATTCCTATTCCACCCTGCTCCCGGCCATCATGTCTACCGTCACCCTCGCAGACTTTGAGGGCGCGGACGTGACGCCTTGGGAGACCATTGTCTCCCTTCTTGTCGCTCTCCTGAACTCTGTCGTTGCGTTCCTGAACTACTTATCCGCAAAACCAGATTATCTTCCTCGGCTGTACTACCCTAACGAGCCAGCCTACTTCACCGCCAAAAAACGGGACCCAAAGGACATCATCACCAATACCCTCACACAAGAGCTGCGGGACCTCCAAGCAAACGGTGAAACATTCCATTCCAACGAACAACCCGCTTTGGGACCCTACTCCAACGGCAACACTATCAACAAGCTAAAACGAGCTACCGAGCACGTATCAATCCGCTCCTTCGTCGAAGCACGATGCCCTACCCTTCTTAAAGGTACCCCTTGCCCAGGCGCTTGACGTCAGCTATGCAAGCAACTGCTTATCCTGTATTCGACTAGACTATGTTCCCAGCTGGTGGCTTCGAAGGTACGTTCCTGCTTGAGGACTGTGTGCGTGATGTTCATGCCTCTGACTTTTACAACGTGTATAGCGGCCATCTAAATACCATTTACTGCGTCATGGGCGATTTTACCAAGAAGGATCTAGTCGAGTACGAGCGGTGAGCACGTCCGTGCTTGCGTAGGCCTCCCGTACCGTCTTACCCTTTTACTATCAGAACCTTGCTACGACTGCCTGATGGCGGGACGATGTGCGTCACCAATTTTCCTTTCGCTCATGTTGAAATGGATCGTTTGTCCAAGTGGCCTTGATTTTACACCCCCGACCGCTCATCGCGTTCTCGATCCCAAAACTCCCGTCATCGTCGTTCTGCATGGTCTTTCAGGAGGTGCGGATATGGCTATTTTTTTTCTGCAGTGTTGCTCATCGCTAGAACAGGGTCCTTCGAGTCGTATGTACGCGACATTCTATCCACCGCTTGTGCTTCAAAGGAAGATGGGGGGTTGGGTTATCGCGCGTGCGTGATGAACTTTCGCGGCTGTGAGTGTTCTAGATCCTGGCTCCCTATCAATGACGTAACGGGGTTGCTGCGTCCCCTTATCAAGGTGCTGGCGTCCCCCTGACTACTGCCCAGCTGTATAGTGGTGCGCATACTGACGATCTGAGATCTACTCTCTTGTATCTTCGGGAGCTGTACCCCGAAGCGCCCTTACTTGGCATTGGTTTCTCGTTGGGTGCAAACGTCCTGACCCGATACGTCGAGGAAGAGGGCGGGACATGTCGGCTTCGTTCTGCCTGCGTCCTTGGATGTGTGAGTTGTATCCTGATCATGTGTTAGTGCCGATATCTGACCAGCGTGGGGGACGTTAGCCGTGGAACTTGACGCTCAACAGTGACATGCTAGAAAAGCGATGGATTTATCGAAACTTGTATTCCAAGGCACTTGGTGGAAATTTACTGTACCTTCTCCGTAGTCATCTCGAGACACTGAACAAACTCGCACCGACGAAAGCGACGCCCCATATTTTGCGGCTACTCAAGATGCGTGCACCTACACTGAAGGATTTCGATCACCACGTTACGTGTTGGATGGGCGGCTCCGCACCTAAGTTTCCATTCGAGTCCGCTGATGCGTACTACGCAGGGTCGTCGGCGCACGACTCCGTACAAGACATCAGGATCCCATTCATCGCGTTCAATGCCTCGGACGACCCCATTGTGGCAGAGATGCCGGTCAACGAGATACGGCAAAGCCAATGGGTCTTCCAGGTAGTCACGCCATATGGTGGGCATCTCGGCTGGTTCGAAGGAGGGACGTTTGGTGGGTTCCAGAGGTTCGGCGGGCCCCCTCCTCGGTGGGTACGAAAACCGGTACTCGAGTGGTTGCAGGCGACTGGCGAGGACCTCGGGCCTGAATTCGATGACAAGGGCCTCGGACGGGTCCAAGCGTCCAACGGCTTTACGATGGAAGAGGGGAAGAGGGACGTGGGGTATAAGCGTTTGGAGCGGTCCAAGCCCAAGTACCAGCCTCAGAGGCCCGAGGAGCACCTGGTCCTGACTGCCGCATAATCCGTCGCGGCTTGATTTTTTGCCTAGTTTTATTCTCCAAATATTGCTGCTTGTTGTTGTGTTTTTTTTTATTCATAGAAATAGAGCGTTGTACGACCATGGCCAGGGATGAGAATGAGAAGAGAGAAATGTTGATCCGCCCGAGTTCTCCACCAAGTCCGAATGTGGAGGATCCCACGCTCCGCCATTGGCCGAATCGCCACGATTCTATTCACGATCCTTCCTTCCTCTATTATTCATGGCATCCATCTTCAACGTTAGTCGTCTTCAGAACAAGATCGTCCTCATCACTGGCGCCAGTGGGGGAATCGGTGCGGTATGTGCGATGAGATTTTGCTCCCTAGCCTGGATCTCATGTTTTGCTTTTTTTTTGTGGCCGGCCTCAAGGCTGCTGCCGTTCTCTTCGCCAAGGTAGGCTGATTTCTCGCGCACAAGTCCGCGCCCTGGCAGCCGGCTCGAAGTGACTCATCGGGAATGGCATTGTAGGCTGGATCAAATGTGATCTTGGCAGCTCGTCGCAGCGAAGGGTTAAAACAGGTTGCGGCGGCTTGTACCGCTGCCCATCAGGAATCTGGGGTGCAAGCCGGCGGAAAATTCACTACGGTACAGCTTGATGTATCCGACCGCGTTGCCGTCGGCAAGCTGTGGGACCACGTCCCCAGTGAATTTAGGGATGTCGACATTCTCGGTCAGGATGGCGTCACTTTTTTTTTTTTGTGGATTTTGTCAAATCCGGGGGTTGCCTGGGGTATTGAACGATCTTTTTTTTTCGTGTTTTCTGGCAGTTAACAATGCTGGCTTTGTCTTGGGAGTGGAACGAGTCGGGGATATTTCAGAGTCGGATATCGAGGCTATGTTTGGCACTAATGTGTTTGGCCTCATTTCGGTCTCGCAACTACTCGTGAATCGTCTGTGTCTTTCCTTCTTTCTCTGTCATTGACCCATAGTGGCTGACGCTGGTGTGCGTACATGTAGACTTTAAAGCCCGTCGTGCGGGCCATGTGATTAACATTGGGAGTATCGCTGGACGCGAGTCTTACCCCGGAGGCTCTATTTACTGCGCCACCAAGGCTGCCGTGAGCGCATTCAACGGAGCGCTCCTGCGTGAAGTTGTCAATACTCCTATTCGCGTTACGGAGATTCAACCGGGTGAGATACGATTGGTTTGGTGATTATTTCTGTTTGCTAAATCGTAAAGTGTTCTCGCTTGTTAGGATTGGTGGAGACTAGTGCGTTGTTGTCTTCTTCTCTATGCTAAAGCGAAGATGAAAGTTGCTGACATTCATTCATCCCTCTGGTGTGCAGAGTTCTCCGTAGTAAGGTTCCGCGGGGACCAGGCAGCAGCTGACAAGGTGTACGAAGGTCTTCAGCCACGTGAGTGAATGACACCTTTTTTTTTTTCCTTTTTTGATTGATAGGGGGAGGAGAAGCTGACTTGTTCTCTGATCCGCAGTGGTGGCTCAGGACGTAGCGGAGGAGATCGTATGGGCCGCTGCACGTCCGCCGCACGTCAATCTGGCAGAAATTCTCCTCCTGCCTGTCAACCAGGCTAGCGCAACTCTGACTTATCGCGAGCCCAAGAAGGAAAAGTAGACATTTTTTCCCTTCTTTGTTGTCGTGTGCCAAGAGCACACCTCTCCCTCACAAAAAAGGAATAGAATAGAATAAAATGTGAGGTCGTCATTAGTTCTAGAGGGCCCCCTGTTTGTGTGAATAATGAAAAACAAATAGCAGTACCGTACCCGGCGTTAGGGAACGCTGAGCTTCTAGCTTTCCGCGTGTATAGTGTACGTATGAAGGGTTGAGAGATGTCCGTTTCGTCGGAGAACCCTGGCCTCATGATAACGAATCTCTGCAAATCGTGGAACGACTCGGCCTAAATATAATGAGCAGATATATATTTAGGAATTCGAGACCAGCCCATGGAAATGATTCTCAATTGCCAAGGGCGCGTCAAATGAATTTCTCCGAAAAAGCAGCACAATTAACAATAATAGGGGAGAGGAGCTTCGGCATCGCGGGCGGGTGTTCGTTTTGTTGGCTGGCTGAACAATCATGTACTGTATTCAATTCCCAGAGGCGTCCCAATAGTACTGTATATGGCAGGCTTGGTTCATCGGAGGGGTAACCAAGATCTTGGAGGATCAGGGAGCAGTCGATCCGTTTTCTTTTGCCTGCGGTGGGATTGGAGGCATGGCCGAGGCGCGATGATTGCGGCCCGGGCAAAAGATGTTTTCTCTCCGGAATCGCGGATCGTTGATAAGGACGAGGCACCTCATTGGTGCGTGCACCCGGTCGGATCTAGAACGGCTCGCGTCATTCAAAACAACCGGGACCCGGAAGGATACACTTACCGGTAAGGTTATTAGGTTTGGCTAAAAGCGGCTGATGAGAGGGAGGTTCGAACTCCCGCCCCAAGTAATATGGGACTAGGGCCTAAACCTAGCGCCTTGGACCACTCGGCCATCTCACCCTGCAAGTTCAGCTCTCTCGGGCAAGTGGCAAAGTGAAATCATGCCAGAAGCTGGATAGGAGAATGCCTCCCCATCGTCCCAAAAGTGCTATTCTGCGTCTCCCTTTCTTAGATAAGGGTCGCAGGACGACGTCAGGAAAGGTCCCAGGCTTCGGAGATTACTCACCTTTTTAAAATAGACGGATACGCAAATTACTTCCTCCAAACAGCGACGGCACACATGGCTTAGAAAAGGGGTAGATCTCAGGAGAAATCCCAAGCGTACTCTAGTGCGTAAGTGTGTTTTTGGTGAACCGCACCAGTATGAAGTCATGCATGTCGGGAACCTGCGGCTATCAATTAGGTGATTTCACATGGTGTCATGAACACAACCACGCTCGCTATCATGGGGGGTAGTGGGGATGAGTAAGGGTGGTGATGAATTGCAAATACAAGCCTTTGAGGCATCCTTGCTTTCGCACATTTTGGAAGCTACTGCGCTCCCGAGCGAATGTGATATTGGCGCCATTAATCAGCAAGGTACTTACTCGGTTTCCTCAGCCCAAGCGGAGGACAAATCCGATGAATATGGGGTGAGAGGATCAGCCAGTGACGCGGATTTCATCAAGCTCGCTAAACAGGAACAAAGGAACATTGCGAACTTGAGGATCCTGAGGGATTCTGCAAATCTTTAGACGAGAAAAAAGGGATCGGAAATTGCGTATCAGTATCATTACCCAAAATTGCAAGACTTTAGAACATACCAGGATTGACGACCCTGCTCCACGGTTCTATAGAAGGGGGACCCAGGAGATTCGGCCCGGAGGACGGGGCCATGAGAAGGCAGAAAGAGACGTCGCGAACATCTAGGATTGTCACAAGAGTAACGGTGTCACCAAAGGCAGTTACACCGGCACTCGCCGCCGACCAAATGAGGTCGATTCTTGGCCGTCTGCACCTCCCGCGGTTTTGTCATGCGCACCGAACAGGACGGGGTATAGCGACGCAAAAGTTCGCTAATAAACGTTGGTTTTACTCCCCTTGGCGTCCTTACGTTGATTGATTGTTTCTGTTAGGTCCTACTGGGATTATCCAGGTGGACGGTGCCGAGTATCCAGCAGACAGCTGGACAAATGTCACACCAACTATCCTATCAAAAATTCCCCTACGCTTGCACCTACAGCCCAATCATCCTCTCGGCATTATTCGGTCTCTTATCGAAGCCCAATTCCCATCTTTCGCCTATCTCAATTCCCTTTCACCTATTGTATCTACGCACCAAAATTTCGATGAACTCGGATTCCCTCCAGACCACTCTGGTCGGAGTGTGACAGATACCTATTACCTGAACCAGAATACTCTCCTTCGCACGCATACATCTGCCCACGAGATCGACACATTTCGGCAAGGTCATGAAAAGTGGCTTTTAACCGCCGACGTCTACCGGCGAGACGAAATTGACGCTACCCATTCTCCCGTCTTCCACCAGGTGGAAGGTGCTCGCACATTCTCTGTTTCACAATCGGAGATGGACGCCTTGAAGGAAGAAAACGAAACACTCCGGGCGCGTTTGGCGTCTACAAATATCTTTATCGAAGATGACACGAAAATCACCCCCACCAACCCGTGGCAAGATACCCACCATCCCGCCCATGCCGAACTCGTCGCCACGAACCTTAAACACCATCTTAATTCCCTGATATATCGTTTGTTCTCGTTCGGAAGGACGGATGCCGAGCCTTTACGTGTTCGATGGATCGAGGCGTATTTCCTTTTACTAGCCCCAGCTACGAAGTGGAAGTGTTCTTCCGGGGCAAGTGGCTCGAAATTCTCGGATGCGGTGTCGTCAAACAGCGAACTCTCGATCTGGCGGGTGCGGAGCTGCTTCGACGCCCTAGGTGTAACGGTCCAACTCATTATTTGCTTTCATATTTTGGGGATAGGCGTTCCTAACAGAATCAGTTGGGCTTTTGGTCTCGGTCTTGAACGAATCGCTATGGTTCTGTTCTCGATTCCCGACATCCGGTTATTCTGGTCGACGGATCCCCGTTTCCTTGACCAGTTCAAGCAGGGAGAGATCACCTCTTTCCAACCCTACTCTCGCTTTCCCTCGTGCTACAAGGACGTCAGTTTTTGGAACGCTGGGAAGGACCACGAACGGATACACGACAACGATTTTTGTGACGTTGTGAGAGACGTGGCTGGAAACCTGGTCGAGGACGTCAAGTTGGTGAGTGATTGAGTGTTTTGAGTGGCCGGTACTTTTGGGTGATCTTCGCGGCCAGATCGATGAATTTGTCCACCCGAAAACTGGGAGACGGAGCGTATGCTACCGTATAAACTATAGATCGATGGACAGGTGCGGTCGTTTGTGGTCATCTTTGCATCCTTGCGGTTCTGACCATTCTTGCTGCACAAGATCATTATCGAATGATGAAATTAACTCCATCCAAACTCTGGTGACGGCGGCCTTAGTGGACAAGTTCCGGTTGAGATAAGATGACGATCAATATAGATGAATGGGGATCGATGATGATACTATAACTAATGCAATATAATGCTCGTAACGCCTTAACTCGCCGTTTTCTCTGCTGCCACGCCTACTTGTGGAGCTCGTAATGTCCGGTCCTTGATCGTATACCCCAACTTCTGAACGTCAATGACCTGCCCCGGTTCCCTCCCTTCAGGCGCAGGAACCGAATACATCGCATCATGGCGATTTGGATCGAATTTCTCCCCAAGCGGATCGTACGGCTTGACACCGTGCTTGGCAAGCGTCTGCAACAGCTGCCGCTCTGTAATCTCGACCCCCTGATACAGCTCTAGTAGCCGCGGATTCGTACTCGGGTCCAAGCGTACGTCGGAGGGAACCGATTTCAGAGCGAGTCCAAGACGTCCACAGTCGCGAGTAAATCACCGGCGAATTTTGAGATGGCGAAATCTTTCGCTTGCTTGCTTTTCGCGCTCCGCTATCCGCTGGAGATTTTGGAAGTCGGCGGTTAGGTATAGCAGTCGATTCTGATTTGTCGTTATTTTAGATTTCAAAAAAAAAGGAAATCGAATTATTGAGTAATGTCTACTTTTTAACTTGAAGAGAGAAAGATACGGACTTGTAATTCGAGAATTTCCGTATCTTTCTTGACTATCAATGCTTCTTCTTTCGACAGAGATGGAGATTCTGTGTCCTGTACGGGCGCACTGGATTCGGGCGTAGCTTCCACGGGTTTTTGCTCCGTGGAATACAGTCGGAACGACAGCGTTCGGGGGTCATGGGCGCAATATTGTAATGGGGGTGCAGACCGTGGAATCCGCGCAGTCCATGCTGAGCGCCGTAAGATACGAATAGCGTTCATGGAGGATTTTTGACTCCGGCCGGGGATTACCGTACCAATTATGGAAGTAGTGTTGCCGAAGACTCAGTCCTCGATCCTTTTCGGAACTTTTCAAAGAAAGCCTTACAGTGCTGTCAACACATCACTATTTGACTCAACTTCTATCATCTTGGATCCCTTGTCTTTCATCCTGCGAGAAACAAAAAGTGCCAAGGTGTCGTAATTGACAAGAAAAAGAGGACTCAGTACTTGGCTTGACTGGACTCAATTCAGTTGAGCCAGTCATGGCAACACTAGTTGTGGTTTGATGCTTGCATCACCAGTAATGCTGGAAGTGGTTTTGTTGTCCGGCTACCCAGCTATGTAGAGTGTTTTATTAAGTTTATTTGGCATCCTAGGACCCTTGGTGATAACAGTTTGAAGCTTTGGAAATGCCATTTGGGCAGGTATGACTCCATCATCTCTTACTTAAAATATTATTCTAAGGATTGGACAAACAGAAAATGGAATTTTGTGTCCCCATGTGACCCTGGAGGTCCTTAAGCCTACCTTTCCCCTTGGGTGTTTAAGGTGTGTTTGCTTTTAGTGTCTGTGCGGGTGCTCATCTCTAAATCATTGATTCCTCAGGTCTGATATGGAGGCAGAATTGGAGCTCATTTGCAGTCAGACCCTAGAAGCTGGTGCTGATGCCACAGTAGTCAGTAGCCACTGGGCTGGGGAGGGGTGCCAGTGCAAAGGATCTAGCTCAGGCTGTCATTTCTGTCTGTGAAAGACTTGAAGTTCCTCTATGGCTTGGATAGATTGATTGAGGACAAAATTAACACTATTGCCACTGCAATCTATGGGGCTGATGGTATCAAGCTTAGTGATCTTGCCATGAAACAGGTAGAGATGTATACCAAACAGGGCTTTGCACACCTTGAATCAGTCTATTCCCCAATGATTGATAGATTGTGTTTGCTGAGTGTGGTTGTGTGACATCAGAGTCTGTGTGGTGAAATCACAGTGGTCTGGTCCTGGGTTTCATTTGGTGGGGGTTTTTGTGGGTCATGTTCATAGCTTTCATTTGGCAGGGGGGTTCATTGTGGGTTCAAATGACAAACTAGAATAGATTAGTAAAAAAGAAAAAAAGCAAAGCCATGCAAAAGGAGCAGCATATGCTGCTCCTTTTGCACAGTGTAAGCAGGGTGGTTATTAACCAATCCAACTACTGTCCACAATATTGAACTGGAGATGAAGGAGGGAATTGTCAGTGGATTGGGTCCGCAGACAATCCCGATCGTATCCTGTCCGTATTTAGATAAGTGGCCCCGTCGTGTATATACGTATTATGTAACGTATTCGGCTCTTGCCGACCAGTTTTTTCGACAGGTTATGGGCCCATGCGCCCTGTAGCGTATACCACCTTCTAAGCTAGTACCTGCCACCCGCCACCATGTCAAATGTTAATGCCCTCCTGGCTGCTGTAGCCAAGTTGTCTGGAGCAGATAACTACTATGACTGGGCTTTTCAGATGCAGCTCATCATGATGCGCTCGGGCTGCTGGGGGGTTGTTAATGGCTCGGTTTCCAGACCCCGCCACACTGATCTCGCGCGTCTTGAGGATTGGAATGCCAAATCTGCGGACGGCTATACCGCTATTGGCCTGACACTGAACCCGGACCAAACGATTCATATTCGTAACTGCGC